TTGCACTTCCTCTTTGCATCAGTACACCAATGAAAAGACCACAGAGAAGAAAATACAATCCCCTGTACTTGTGTGGCTCTTCATCATTAGTTTAAATCTGTGGAATCATAGATGTCTCTAAGGTGGACTACCCACCCCATTAAAACTGCAGATCAGGGGAGGATATAATAATAATAATATTATTATTATCATCATCGCAATTTATATAGCGCCAACAGATTCCATAGCGCTTTACTATATTAGGAGAGGGGGATTTAACTATAAAGGACAATTACAAGAAAACTTACAGAAAGGATAGGTTGAAGAGGACCCTGCTCAAACGAGCTTACAGTCTATAGAATCTAGAACCTAATGTTGGGATGGGCACTGATATTTATTTTAAAGGAACACTGCAGGCACAATAATCTCTACAGCCCTCTGAATGGGGCTGTATTATTGTGGGGATATGGACTGTAGTAGGGGTAGTGGGCTGTAGTGTGGGTATAAGGACGGCATGGGACTGTAATGTGGAAATAGGGACTGAAGGAGGGGAACAGCGGATGTAGGGATCAAAAGGGCCGTCTTTAACACAGGTAAACTGGGCAGCTGACGCAGGCCCAGTTACTCCTAGGAACAAGAAGTTGTTTTTTAAAATTTCAACACCCCTGCCACATACAAACACACTCCTGCATTGAAACACCAAATTTATATATAAAGACACCCCTGCATTCAAAAAACAACACTACACTTCAATGCATGCTTGCATTCAAATGCCAACATCACATACAAATACACCTCAACATTCACACACACACACACACTCCATACTAAAACATGCTTAAACATGCTTACATTCAAACACACAAACACTGCTCAGTGCTAAATACAACCCTGCAAGCATGGGAAAATGGTAGAGCCCCAGCTGTCAAAGCACAACAGATAGGGATTTACCTTTTGGCCATACTTGCTCTAGCGGGGCTTAAAATGGTTTTTTTTTTTCCGCCAGGGCCCTCTCTACTTTGTTATGCCACTGCATTGGGGTTGAGGATGTTACTGCATGCCAGGGAGTGGGAAGGAGCAAGGTCTCGTAGGCCCGAGCAAATGCTTACCCAGGGTTCAATCAGAATTAAAGAAGGCCCTGGGAGGGATAGCGGCTGTAGTGGAGGAATAGAGGCTGTAGGGGGTAAACACTGTAATAGGGACGTTATAATGGAAGCTGTAGTGGGGGGATATGTCCTGTAGTATCGGGATAGGTTTGTAATTAGACATGTGCAATTCGTTTCGTTCTGAATGTAAATTGCTGAATTTCGGAAGTGCCGAACCGAATTGCTAAAGTGCCATATTTTGGAAGTGCTGAACCGCACCACCGAAGTGCTTCGGATTTCTGAAAAGTGGCAAAACAGGAGAGAGAAGGAAAATGACCCTAACCCTATCCCTAACCCTTTCCCTACCCCTACTGGTTAGGGAATTACCAAAGTGCCAAATTTACGAATTGCCTAAGTCCCAAATTTCGGAAATGCTGAACCGAACCAAATTTTTTGCCCATGCACATCCCTAGTTGTGATAAGAGGATAGGGGCAGTAATTGGACAATTGCCTCTCTCTTTAAGGGGTTCTTCTTGTCAAGTTTAGTCAATTTGATATTCATAAAGAAAATCAGCCCCATCTTTTATTTATGTATTTTAAAAGAACTCTCAGGAAAAAAAATAAATGAAATTCAGACACGGGAGCTATATAGACACAGATTAGGATAAAGGTTTTTTTTTGTGCCAGGGCTGCTTTAAATTGAGAAAACTTCCAAGGGCTCCTATCGTCTCCAGTACATTAAGGGGTCTGTCAATACACCTCCTCTGTGCAATGTGTGAGTCTTTGTACTCTGTTTATGTTTAAACTTGCTCATTTTCATTTAATACCTTTTTTTTTTTGGACACTTCAACACCTTATCAGGAGAAATGCTATATCCCAGAGAGCAGGAGGTGAAACAATTGAAATGTACACAGCTCAACGTAGACTATGAAACTGTCACGGGTGGCGGTCCGCAGACCAGGACCCCTTAGTGCCTGATGAGAAGTTAGGAGTCTTAGTGTGGAAGTGGATTATCAGGGTCTGATGCAGGGTAACCACACGCCCTCTGGTGTTGAGCGTTTGTGCAGCCACATACCAGAACCCTGATGCAGCTACAGCGGATCCCAGGAACTTGGAGCAACAATTAAGCAGACCTCCCAGGAGCTGAATAGGGAGACTCTGCAGCAAGAATGTATCCAGTACAGAAACAAGGCAAGGCTAGGATAGTCACAAAACATGACAACAAGACAGAACTAATAGAACCCAGAACCAGAGAAGGATAGGAAGCTAAACCCAGAACATGTACACAATACATAAAGGAACATTAACTAAACAGGGGCAGGACAGGACTGTACATGGACTGGGATTACAAAATAAACAAGACAAGATAATAAGTTTAGACATAACTAAGCACTATATATGAAAAGTATGGGGATTTAGTTACATTATATGATTATACATTGCATAAGCCTGCCACAACGCCAATGTACCCCATATTCGGCAGGTCCTACACTGCCTAATGTTCGCTAAAAGAACCATACCAAACCACAATAGCACTTACCTGCAAGAAAGGGCAGAAGGCTTGAAACACTGATGCAGGTCCAGACTGAAACAAAAGGAATGATGGCGTGGCAACATAAAACAAACATTTAAAGGAAACCTGGAGACTGGGAATTCCAGGGACGGAATATAAGAATGAACCCAGAAAACCAGACATAGAATAGAAAACAAGAAAAAAACCAAGAAAAAGTAAAAAAAAAAGTAAAACAAGAATAGTAAAAAAGAGTACTGGATACCACAAGCCAAGTCAGACATCAGAACAGAGCAGAGCAGATCCTGACAGAAACTTCTTCTTAAGTAAAATCAACAAAATGTGAGAATCACAGTGGAAAGGTAAAAAAATAAATAATATATAAAACTTCCCTTAAATAGAGAATATATTGCCCCAAAGACTTTCTCTTGCTTGCAAACTAGTATACACACGACATATATGCTTGCAAACAAGTATACGCATATAGAACAAAATAGGGACAATTCTCCTAAGGAAACAGAATACAAAACAATACAGCATATAACTATGAAAAATGATGTATGTTTAATTCCAATTTTCCACTCACAGTTTTAAGTTGTAAATAACACCTGATAAATGTTATCCAGTTTACTCTTCTAATGACCAGACCAATTTTGCTTTCAGCAGTGAGGAATCGTCAACTCAGAGACCACAAGATTGAAATGCAAATAAAAAAATAAATAAAACATTTAATTTGCATTTCAACCATGTAATCTCTTCTTTCTGAGTTGATGATTCCTCACTAACTATTAGTCAAATATATCTGTAAGCTGCTATTTAGGTGGCCAAGTATAAAAGCATATCATGAGCAGGTATTGCAGTTAGAGAAATAAATAGCAAGGATATATATTTAATTTAACGTAATTTTTTTTGTTTTTCTTTAAACAAAATTGGTCATGTGGTGCAAGACCACATGCCATAAGTTAGCACAGCAAACCATAACATGTAAAAGTAATGAACAGTATGTATACTGTCACATTAAGATCTGTTGAGTCCTTGTGGGATTCCAGTGTTAGAAGCCAGAAAAATCCTGCATTGTTAATGCAGCCGTGGAAGTGCCTACACTCCCTTTCCTGTATAGCTACACATACAAGAGGCTCTACTGAAACCCTTTTTACAAGGTTTTAGTGTGTGTGAGGAGCAACAAGAACGAAAAATAAGCCTGTCAGCAGCATTCATTATGGTCTAACGAAGAGCACCCAGTGGGTCCTTTGGTTCCAGGTGATTCCTACAAGGAGTTAGAAATATACCAACCTGCCATCCTTGAGTTATTAAATGCAACCTCCAGTAGGCATCACCGCCTTGATACCAGAGACATGCCACTCTATATTAAAAAAAAAAAATTTAATGTAGCACAGCTGAGCGGTGTGTACGGTCTGTAAGTAGTAGGGGGCATATATGGAGATAAACACAAGGGGGTGACTAGGGAAACTAGACTCACAGGGGACATGGGGACATATAAACAAAGAGAAACTTGGGGATAGAAAAACTAGGGGGTGTGCAAGATGCCCAACATCTTCTTGGATCCGACCAGTAAAACATCTTGGGATGACCCTGTGTAGAGGGCAGTATTGCTTCTTGAGAAACCAAATGGGTGAGAGTTATAATAATCAATGCAGGAAATTATAAGAGTGTGAACAAGCTCCTCAGTATTATATCCAGTAGTATATGAATACAGGCAATGTATTTAAAGTGAAAATTACATGATTTAAAAGGTAAGGTCAGAGTCAAAGACAATACCAAGGCAGCGAGCTTGCAAGGATGGGGTGATGGGCAAGGATGGGTGATGGACAGAGCATTAACAAAGAGAAAGCAAAAGAGGAGGCTTAGTTTTATATGAATGGAATATAGGAAGACTGTGTTTTAGAAATTTGGAAGTAATGCAGATGGAGGTGAGGCAGTTGGTGACATGGTTTTAACCCCTTAAGGACCAAACTTCTGGAATAAAAGGGAATCATGACATGTCAGACATGTCATGTGTCCTTAAGGGGTTAAAGAGCGAGAGAGAGAGATGTATATGTATTTATGTATGTATGTATGTATATGGGATGTATATCTGGATGTCATCTAAATCTAGGTCGTTTTGGAATCCAAATTAAGTAACAGGTTTTGTAAGCGAAGCAATACAGTGAGCAAACAGGAGGGATCATTGAGGGTCTACAACTGAGAGGAGAATGAGTTTCACTAGAATAGATACACTGAAGGAGTGTTAAGAGAGATGGGATTAGAACTAAGAAAGAACAGTGTCATGAAGGCCAATGGATGAAGGATCTGGAGAGTGTGATTAACAGTGACAAAAGCAGTATAGATGTCTATAATAATTAGTATTGTGTATTTAGATTTAGCCATGCATTAGATCATTAGTCACTGAATTTAGAACAGTTTTGGTAGAATGTAAGGGGTGAAAGCCAAGCTGAAGGAGAACCAGGATACAGAGTTGTGAAAATTGGTCAGGTGGGTACAAACAAGTCGTTCAAGAAACTTTGCGTTAAAAGGAGTAGGGATGTGGGACAGTAATTAGATGGAGCAGTTCGGTCGAGAGATGGCTTATGTAGAATAGAAAACTTGAAGAAAGAGAGTCATTGAATTTGCTTGTTAAAGATGGCACAAGACAAAGAAAAGAGACCAAATCCTGACCTGTTGGAGTGCGTTGAGATGGAAAACAATGATCTAACATGCCAGCATAACTAACACCGTTGCAAAGTGGGATTAGGGTGCAGTGGACTTTTTACTTGACAGTACCCAAACTAAAGTTGTGGATCAGGCTGGGCACAACGACTCCTACAACATGTAGACTTAGATGGAGGGCTAAATATACCTACTCTTCAGTAGCCAAATTATGACATAACTTATCAATAAGTCTGTTCTAAAAGTCATGGAAATTTGAAGAGTGATGCATTAGAACATAGACGTGATGAACACATTCCGGGAATGCACACTGAATACGGAATATTATCTTGTCAACAAGAAGTGCTTTTGTGTTGAAGGAACAAAACAGCATCATTGCCTTGGCGGGTGGTCTTTCTATTGATATTGGACATTCAGGCTATACTGAAGCAAGACTTTACACCAATAATGTGAGGTATGAACCCACACCTTCAAATTCTCTTTCCATTCTCACTGCTAAACCTTTGTCCCTCTGGGCATATCTTTTCAGTCTAATCAACAGTATTAGAATTGTTCTGTGGAATGTCAGCTTAGTCATTCCACCAATTGAACTTTCAGATTGGATTTACAAAGTGTACAGTAACCTGACTATAGCAGACTTCTAGACATAAGAGCAGCTGGTTTGTACCTCATATAGAGTATTAATTAAAAAATTATCCAGCATTTGAGAATAACACATAATGAATGACCAACATAAGCACAAATGTTTCTCATAACATGATACAAGATAGTGCATTAATGGAAAAGTATATATATTCCTATATTATTTTACTATAACTAAATACAAGCATGTATTTGCAAGCAGCAAATTGTTTAAAAATATTGCAGTTTAACAGAAACGATCTATACTGAGATACACTTCACTTTAGGAAATGTAACTGCTATTTATGGTCACTGCATCTATGGATACTGTTAAAAGGTTAATAATGTGCACCTCCTCAATTGCACTTATTAATCACATGATAAATACTGGTGCCGTGATTGCTCAACTAAACTGTGTCACATGATTTTGTTCTTCTCCATAACTCTGGTATGTTGCACACTTTATTATGTGTAGATACAGACATCACTGTTGATGAAATAATCTTGCCCTTTTGCTTGATGGGTCAATAAACTTCAATAAAAAAATTAAATTCTTCATATGCCGTAATGAGCAAACATGGGTACACAGAACCCCCCACCCCTGGCGATAAATAATTCCTGAAACATTAGTCATTAATAAGCAAATCACAAGTGTCCATTTACTTAATCCTTTTTGTGTTTATTTTGTCCTGACCTTGTGTGTAAATCTATATTATGGTGCCTGTGGGATAGAATTGAACACTGTATAAAATATTTGTTCAAGTCATGAAGGTTGTAGTAGGTGTGAATTTCTGAAATTTCCTGTGCAAACAGATTAAATACAGGTTTCAGTAATTATTTATAGGCAGTGGTATATTTACCACTAGGTCACTTATGTCTAGGATCAGGAGACAGAAAAATGCAGCAGCATTATATTTGGTTGCATCGTTTTTTAGCCACAAAATAAAATTCTGTGCAACTGCTGCTAAAACAGTTGCCCTCTTGGGACAGTAATTAGATGGAGCAGTTCGGTCAAGAGATGGCTTGTGTAGAATAGAAGCCAGTCTTTGACTTGACTACATTTGGTCACCTCACCTCCTATATATACGATGTACACTGCATGCAGTAGGATTTAAAATAGCAATAAAATTAGCTGTTAAAGGACCACTATAATGTCAGGAAAACAAACCCGTTTTCCTGACACTATATAGTCCTTAGGGTCCCCCCACCCTTCAGCCAATTACCTTTATCCAGCGCCTGGCTCCCTCGGCGATGGTGACCTCTCCTCCCCCTCCAAAGTCAGCGCCCGAGTGGAGATGAATGCGCATGCATGGGCAGAGGCACGCGCGCATTAAAAATGCCCATAGGAAAGCATTTCTCAATGCTTTCCTACGGACGTTCTGCATGCTCAATGTGATTTTTCGCATTGAGCGTCGGGGAAGCACCTCTAGCGGCTTTAACACACCTCTTACAAACGGTGCAGCATGGATCAATTGTTTACTGATAAATGTTCATACCTCCCATGTGTCCCTGTTTAGGAGGGGCAGTCTCTATTTAGAGCCCAAATCTCCATGTCCTTTTCTTACTATCCGAATGTCCCTCTTTTCCATATTGTTTAATGTATGAGTGTATAACTGAGCTCCACAGCTATAATATTCACAGTAGTGTGTTTTTAAACTGCAATAAACGTGGTAAAAAATCAGTCTGTGTAAATAGGCCATATTGTTCTTGTTGTAAGTTACAGTTTAGTTGCATAAATTGTTATTAGTAAGTCTCCTAAAATTTCTTAGAACAGCCCCACCCCTGGCCATACCCCACTCACACCCCTAAAATCAAAGTGTCGTCTTTGTCCATTATAAATGCTGTATGGTATGAGATAGGGTTGCGATAGCTGGACTACCAGGCAAGGTGTCTACACTAAAAAGAGGCATTCTACGCCTTTAGCATTGATATCATCAAAAGTGATAAGCTAAATAAACATTAACCGTAGCAATAACTTTTACAATAAAACAAGATATTGTAATGCTGGTGTGTGCCTTCAGCCATAGTGTGTTAAAAGGGTAGTGAGATTCTGCTGCTAGATACAATGTGACTGGAAGTTGGCTGTCCCATGTGCACACAGTCTGCCTTAGGAAGTCACAATTCTAAAATTCTTTTCGACATACTATTCTGTTCTGGTTCTGGACTATGGAATCAAGAATTCAGATCATGAGATTAAACGTCGGAGTCTCTTTAACACAAATGAGTAGATTTAGAAATCTGCAGTGAAACATGTAAACTCCTGGAAACAACTGCCAGTAGTAAGTTACGGGTCTTCAGATTGCTATACCTTTTTTGTTGATTATTAAGTATACTATGGTCAGCTGTGCACATACAGGTGATATTCGAAAAATTAGAATATCGTGAAAAAGTTCATTTATTTCAGTAATGCAGTGTAAAAGGGGAAACTAATATATAAGATAGACGCGTTACATGCAAAGCAAGATAGTTCAAGCAGTGATTTGTCATAAGTGCGATGATTATGGCTTACAGCTCATGAAACCCCCAAATCCACAATCTCAGTAAATTAGAATATTGTGAAAAGGTGCAATACTCTAGGCTCACAGTGTCCCACTCTAATAAGCTAAGTAAGCCATAACACCTGCAAAGGGTTTCTGAGCCTTTGAATGGTCTCTCAGTCTGGTTCAGTAGGAATCACAATCATGGGGAAGACAGCTGACCTGACAGTTGTGCAGAAAACCATCATTGACACCCTCCATAAGGAGGGAAAGCCTCAAAAGGTAATTGCGAAGGAAGTTGGATGTTCCCAAAGTGCTGTATCAAAGCACATTATTGGAAAGTTATGTGGAAGGGAAAAGTGTGGAAGAAAAAGGTGCACAAGCAGCAGGTATGACCGCAGCCTGGAGAGGATTGTCAGGAAAAGGCCATTCAAAAGTGTTGGGGACTTTCACAAGGAGTGGACTGAGGCTGGAGTCAGTGCATCAAGAGCCACCAAACACAGACGGATCCTGGGCATGGGCTTCAGATGTCGTATTCCTCTTGCCAAGCCGCTCCTGAACAACAAACAACGTCAGAAGCGTCTTACCTAGGCTAAAGAAAAACAGACCTGATGAGAGCAACTTTTGCTTCTCATTTGGAAACCAAGGACCCAGAGTCTGGAGGAAGAATGGAGAGGCACACTCTGCATTGGGGAGCCATGTCATCTGCTGGTGTTGGTCCACTGTGCTTCATTAAGTCCAGGGTCAACGCAGCCGTCTACCAGGAGATTTTGGAGCACTTCATGCTTCCTTCCGCAGATGAGCTTTATGGGGATGCTGACTTCATTTTCCAGCAGGACTTTGCACCTGCCCACACTGCCAAAAGCACCAAAGCCTGGTTCAATGACCGTGGGATTACTGTGCTTGATTGGCCAGCAAACTCGCCTGACCTGAACCCCATAGAGAATCTATGGGGCATTGCCAAGAGAAAGATGAGAGACATGAGATCGAACAATGCAGAAGAGCTGAAGGCTGCTATTGAAGCATCCTGGTCTTCCATGACACCTCAGCAGTGCCACAGGCTGATAGCTTCCATGCCACGCTGCATTGAGGCAGTAATTGCTGCAAAAGGGGCCCAAACAAAGTACTGAGTCCATATGCATGCTTATACTTTTCAGAGGTACGATATTGTTCTACGTACACTCCTTGTTTTATTGATTGCATGTAATATTCTAATTTACTGAGTTTGTGGATTTGGGGTTTTCATGAGCTGTAAGCCATAATCAGCACACTTAAGACAAATCATGGCTTGAACTATCTTGCTTTGAATGTAATGCGTCTATCTCATATATTAGTTTCCCCTTTTACGTTGCATTACTGAAATAAATTAACTTTTGCACGATATTCTAATTTTTCAAGTATCACCTGTAAAGTAAATCTGGCTTCACCAAAGGCAGATTTCAAACCTCGCACATTTCCATTCAGAATTTATACATTTTGTCAAATAACACCAATTACTAATTTATCTATCAAATCAGGGCCTCCAGAGCATCAGAGCAATAATACTTTCACGATGCAAGATTTCTCACCTACAGTGTTGGCATTACACCTCTTTGTTCCGATGCTATCACCATTGTATGACTCCTGCCATGTTTCTGACCACATAAACAAATTCTGTTGCCTAATTATTATTATTATTATGTTATTATTTATACAGCGCAAACAAATTCCGCAGCGGGTGGAGGAACATACATGTAGTTGTAACCAGACAAGTTGGACACACAGGAACTGAGAGGCTGAGGGCCCTGTCAATGAGCATATATGCTGTATGAAACAAAACTCACTAAGAATTATATATATATATTTTTTAAATCATCCATTTCTTTAACTCACCTATA